GATTTAAATACTTATACCTGTCCGCACAAGACCCAGGTTTTAAGTATGATGTCACTGCAAGGAGACGTCGAAAGGGACAGCTTCCGGAATACCAATGCTTATTTAATTATTTGTTTGTTGTCACCCAAAGGCCCACTCACACTTCCAACCCAGCTATAACTCACACCGAATCCCAGGAGTATACCTAGGAGAGGAAGAACACAAAGGAACGTCTATGCTGGTGTGTGTTTGTGAAGCTCTAAATGCACATAGCTGTTTATAGCACATTCTGCACACCCTTATCTTAGATTTCTTATAACCAAAGGAATCTATTGTGCCGGTAGATAGCCTTTTTGGGAGCTTACAGATCCCCTATGCTAATACAAGCAGTTTTCGAGGATTCTAAGAAAACGAGCTAACTGCTGTTATCACTTCCTGCGTTAACAAAGACTTAGTTAGCTGTTTTATTGAGACATCCTTGGACATACATTGAATAGAACTGGAGGCTAGCCGTTGAATTCTTAGAACAGTTGTCTGGCCAGAAAAGGTGTCCAGAAGTGGTGTTCAGAGATGGTGTCCAGAACAGATATCTAAACACCTGACTTAGATTCCTATTCAGAAGCGCCTCAGTAGACCAAAGCAACTTCTGTTGCTAACTACACCTCTACTTCTGGCTGTATGTTCATCAGGGACGTCCACTTAAGTTCTTACCGCCAAGTCCAATGCTCAGAGTCACTTATAATTTCATCCAAGCACGCTATAGCGCATGACCAGCGGACCGCACAGGCAACAGGCGGCTGTGCGGCGTGGCTTAGGCTTTCGTTGATATGCGCTGGAGACACTATGTGGCGCCTAGGAAACTGAGACGATGACAGTACTCCGCTGACATGAACTGTCTGATTGAGGGGCAGACTGTTCAGGCAACGTGGACCTGTCGCTGAAACGGTGTTACTGACCTGCTGTAGACGGGTGGAGTGATTAGTGTCTGAGCCATACGAGATACTTTGCGCACAGTGAGTCAAGTGGGCAAGTGCAAAATGCACGTGTGCACGGTGTATATCTACAGCTCACACTCATGTATACTTTGGACTGTCAGCGGGTAATCCAGTAGTTGCTTTCCTTATTGGCGGGCTGCTAACATGAGAGCAAATTCTGACTCCAAAAAGCCCAAAAGGACCTTTAAGCTGGGTGCTTTGGGTACAGCCGTGCGAAAAGGCACTGTACTGTTGCTAAGAGGCTTCTTGCCTTGGTGGGAGGCCCTAAATTATGTGCTAGCTATCGTGCTGCACTGTACGTTCATGCATGAAGCATTAGTGTGGGGGGACGGGTCCATTCTGAGTGTAATCAACGTCTAGGATCGACTTTAACGGAGGAGCAAAACGGTAGGTTGCTGGGTGTAGAACAGCGACGCATAGTGTGATTACATTGTTTTGTGCACTGTGTAATCTCCAAAGTTGGTCTAATGGCTACCCAGGGTAAGCTGGACACTGCATCTTGTGGTCCACACTGTCACCAGATGGCACCAGATGTCATGTGCACAGCTAATGCTGATTATACCTACAGGTACTTATGCTACTTATAATCATAGTATCTATTGGATTTTAGAGCACGCAAAGAGTGGAGTCTAAAAGTGGAAGTGGCCGCTGAATTGTTCACTGACGAACGGCAAGTTCAAGTCTATATTAGCTTCTATGATGTGCTTACTATCCTTTTCTGTGATGTTAGCCTTTAGCATTAGAGACTAAGTACTGTGGCTTGTGACAAGTTCCCTAGCCACAGTACTTAATCATGTTCTGGCAAAGGTTGGATGGCCTCTAGCTCTGCAGCAAGAAGTGGCGCCTAATCACTCTGAATATACCAACCATCTTGGACACCCATTCTGGGCATCCGCTTTAGGCGTCAGCTTTAAGCACCCCGTCTTAAGGACGTTTTTGGCTGCAGATTTGGTGCATGTTCTGATCAAGCTCAACGAGAGTAGTTCCTTTATGCATAATATGTGGATCACCTGTTTCTCGGCACCAAAGGTCCACAGAAGCTTTGAGAAGGAGTTTGTGGAGCCAAAAAGCTAATAGGGGATGGGCCAAGAACACAATGTGCCGAATCTGTGTACTTTGAAGCTGACAACAGGCGACGGTTCAGGCTCCTTAAAGTCCTAGGGACGCAGCAGTACAATAGAGACTGGCCTTGTAGTGAGGAGCGTAGACCTCAAAATTGATCAAGGCCGTTTTTAGTCCTCTTTGGCTTCTAGCTCTGACCACAGAGTAGTCAAAAATGACGACTACCATAACGTAATTTAGCAATAAACATAAACAGGCTATACTATAGCTATTTTTAGGCCTAGCATAACTATAATACTAAGGTTACTATACTATTTCCTATTTTAGTATATCTAAGATATATAAGTATAAACTACTAAATAATATTATACTTATCCTAATAATTATATTATAGTATAGGCTTTGATGGTTAAAGAATAGCGCTTCTGAATTAGTGCCTGCTGAAGAAGCGAGACAGGACTAACGAAAATTTTGATAAGGTAACAAAGAACTTGTTGTTGTAATGTGACTAAATCAGGCAGCGATATGGTGTAGACGTATACATTCAAGTCTGTCGGATGCATAAACACTATGAGTACACTTCCTTGAATAAGTCATCGTGGCCTAAGACCAAGACGGAGATGGTGAGTACAATTGCGGAGTAACTGCTCAAGGCTAATAATAGTACCTCAAAGGAAAGAACGTACCCTGTTCCTGTGACGAGAACTCCCCTAGACTTTGTCAGCCAGCGAAACCATGCCCAGACCAACTGCCCCTCTTCTATAACTCACAGACCAAGGGGGACTGCTGCTAAGGAAAATGACGCCCAACATCGCGGTGACAATGGATCCTCGAAAGTAGACAGCCGCAAGGTCCCAGCCCAGACCCATCATGTTGATGCATACCATTCCGGCAACCCAATGGAGCTAGAGAAGAGATCTTATGGAGGATGCAGCGCGCTGCAGGAACTTGTCAAGAGTAGCAGCTCATAAAGGCCATGTGTAGTATATCGTAGATTTAACTGGCCACGCTGTAGACGTTTCTGTACTTAATCGCTGCCCCTTTGTTCTGTAAGTCATAGCTGGGTTGGAAGTGTAAGTGGGCCTTTAGGTAACAAACAAACAAACAAACAATGTCATTCTGAAAACTAGGCCCTTTAGCATCTCCTTACAATAACATCATACTGTAATACATAGATCTTGCGTGGACAGGTGTAAGTATTTAAAATAACCAGAGCCAGAGTTAGAAAGAGTAAATAATAAATACAGCCAGAAACGGCTTATAGGTAGTATAAACCTGGCCCGACCAACGATCGCTGGCCTCCCAACTCTTCTACCCAGGCCAGGCTCCCATCGGTCCTGCTTCTTCTCAATCAGAAACGGCGCCGTGGTGTCAGCTATCATCATGGCGCCGCAACTGGATGCCGCACAGCGTTCCCTAATCACGGCTCTACAAACGCAAAAATTTGACAACAAGCTGATTACATCAAGAGCCTTACAGTATGCTCCATATACACCGTTCAGAAAATAGGCCTCAAATAAACCAGAACCAGAGACGCCCATTGAAAAACCAGCCCTTACCAGCCCTTATCAGCCGCAGCCCCATAGCCGCATGAAAGTACACATACAGAGGCTGTCCGGAAGCCATCAGGGAGCCTAATATCAGTCTTGGGAGCCGGATGACAAGGTAATCCATCGAATACCAACCCCGCTCCTACCCATTTGTGAGTAGCAGGGACTCGTCATCTTTTTCCACTTTGCACCGCCAACATTGCCCAAATGCGTCAGTAACGACATCGCCATGCCCTGCACCAACAGGCCGTCGCTGCACCGCCACAAGCCTACATCATGAGATGCCCAATTGGTTCTCGCGCTTCATTCAAGAGACCTTATCAGCATGCTTTCCACCAATCAATCAGCCAAGCAGCCAAAGCACTCCAGTCCTATCTTTCGAGGCGTGGCCACGAACTTCTTCGCCAATCACATGCCGTAGAGTGCTCAGCCTGCAGCAACCATGCATGTAGGAAGGGCGTTTCCGCTAACGGCCTTAATTGGTAAGAGCCTAATCTAATCACCATCGGCACCCCGCTTCCCAGGTGAACTGTCAACAGAGCGATGAACAAACAATATACATGAAACCCAACCGTACCCGCGACGGCGTCGATATCTCCATACTCGCTCGCTAGCATTCCTTTTCCGCCGCCCTTCGACAGAAGAAATCCCATCTAAGAATTTGGTTCCACAAAAGAACGAGGCCATGCCGGTCTTTAATCAATACTACTACGAACCTTTGGGGACGGAAGATACACTGCGACTCATTGCTTTAGATCCGGTGGTGGATGAAGGAGAACCGTTGAGTTGCACGATTTTCCAAGGCCGGTGTTCGGCACAGAGAGAAGAATACTCTGCTGTTTCATACACATGGTGCGAGCAAAACCCCTCGCGGACCTTGGAAATCAGGTGCGATGATGACGTCTCGTACGTGAGGATTACCTCCAACGTCGACGCCCTCTTGCGGCGTTTTCGCTCGCGGGCTAAATCCTGTTATTTTTGGATTGACGCCATATGCCTCGATCAGACAAACGAATTGGAGAAAGCCCAGCAAATCCCTCTGATGGGACGAATATATGGAGAGGCAAAAGACGTCTGCATTTGGTTGAGTGCGGAGGACCGCATGACTGCGAAGGTCTTCACACTTTTACGGATACTCAGTCAGCTCCCTGAAATTCAACCGCAGGGGCGCATGGCTGGACGCGTTGTCTTTCACTTGAAAAAAGTCTTCGGTCGTGACGACGCATTGGTTGGATGTAGGTCCCTACACAACTTCTTTTTGCGCTCTTGGTTCTCCCGTCGATGGGTCGTCCAGGAGGCAATCCTCGCCCGCGAGGCAACCGTTCACTGTGGGTGGCATTCCATCCCTCTACTATCCATCTCCTGGGCCGCCACGCGTTTCCTCAGCTTGGACGTGGCTTCTTACCCGATCAACATGGCGACAAACCTGCGCAAGACCACCACCAAGCGCGGGATACTGGAGCTACTGTGGTACTTCCATGAAGCCGAGTGTCGTGACCCTAAAGACCGTATCGCTGCCCTTTTAGGCCTTGTACCGGATGGCAATCGATTTCATCTCGACTACACTGCCCACTGGACGGAATTGTATAGACAGGTTGCTTCATTGGCCTTTGGTCTTAATGACAGCGCCACCAACTTCTAATTACTAATCCATTTATTTGAATTCGGTCCCGTCTCCTATCCAGAAGATACCTCCTATCCGTCATGGGTCCCTGACTGGTCAAAGTCTTAAAGGCGGACCCTACCATTCTTTTCTGACATAAGAAACCCAGATACCCATGAGCGGTATCCTACCTCATCTAAATGGCGGGAAAATTCGACTTTCACATTTAACCGCAGCGTCCTACGGGTCCATTGGCATCCCTCAATCGGCAGGCAACGAGGTTGCCAAGTCAACTACGCAAAGAAATATCACTCATTTTTACTCAATGATAACCGCAGAGCTAAGCGTATAATAGAAGTATTGGATAAGCTCTTCCCCTTCACTTTTAATTGCACACAGCATATTTTTGCCCTCTCTTCTTTGCTAGCGAAAATCAAAGAGTTCCGCCATTCCAGTCGGGACCGAGAAATCGATAATGCATCTTTCAATGAGTACATAATCAAGATCTGTCCAGGCATTTCAGATTCGACAGACGCAGATTCACTTCGCTCCCTTCAGTACTTGGATTCTCTTTTACAGGAATTCTGCCTGTTCCGGCTGGAGCCACTTGAACCATGCGCGAAGATCAATCCATGTCGGGTATACGGCATTGGCCCTAAGACTACGGAAGTTGACGACGTTATGATACCACTCTGGGCCCCAGAATGGAGGCGTGATGGGCAAAGGGCCTCTTGGAGGGGAATGGGATGGGATTTCCGGCTAACCACGATGCTCGCCGTGAAGTACGTTGGAGAGCCGTCCCTTCAGCACGAGAGCAATGTGTTGGACGAAAGGATGCCGGTCCACAAGGGCAAAGTGATTGGTCCAGCGGTTTGTGTTATCTCAGAAGGCGGACGGAACTGCACACGCGACGAGCCAATTGACAAGAGGAAGGAATTTCCTTCGGAAATAGATCAATGGCATTCAATGCGCTTAATATAGATTTTGTGGCAGGCGGTATAGTTTTAGTTGCCTCTGTCAACGACGGGAGGATAATCGAGAAGGCCCAGGCCGCCCTGCCCAGCGCCCCCGGAAAAACTGTCACAATATTGGAGAAGACTGGGTATAAAACGCTGAAGGCGTGGATGAGGTTTATATAGCACGCGACTTTCTAAGATATATTTATTCTCTGGATGAGCAATTTGGCCGGTTACGGTATTTATAAGAGCACGACGAGTGTTGTGCTGCAGGTACAGCATTCGCCCCCAGCTAATCAGGTCATAGATGGAAGCTTGAAAGGATAGCAGATTTCAAAGACCTGGATGCGAAGAAAGTGTAGCTCCGCTGCTTGTAAATGCTTGATGCGTAGCTACTCTTAAGCATTCATTGTGTCGTCAGACTCGTGAGACACTTACGTCTCACGATCTTTCCTCTGCCGCTTCCGAAACTCGCTCGCTAGGCTAGTCCGCTTGCGTTTACATTAGCACCTTGTTGCTATAAACGTTGAAATAGTTGTTGCCAACAAGCTAAGAAGTGTGGTGTGTGGTGTGTGGTGTACGTAGTACCTCAGCCCCATACTCTTCAAAAATAGAACAAAGCAGGCTAAAAGTAGTTCAGCAGTTAACTATTTATAGTCTGCCATCATGTACTAGTATAACTTTGCAAGTTTACTTGCCTTAAAAGTACGCGTCTTATACTGGTCTGCTTTCCTGTACTGGTCTGCTTCCTTATATAGGTATGCTTCCTTATACAGGTACGCTTCCTTATACAGGTACGCTTCCTTATACAGGTACGCTTCCTTATACAGGTACGCTATCACAAATGCTTTCTTAGGGCTTTCTCATATTAGTATGCTTTCTCTTACTGGTCTGCTTTCCCGTACTAGTCTGCTTTCTTATACAGGTACGCTATATCGCACATGCTTTCTTACAACTTTCTTATACTAGTCTGCTTTCTTGTACTAGTCTGCTTCCTTGTATATGTACGCTATCGCATATGCGTTCTTAGTAGGACTTTCTTATACCAATATGCTTTCTCGACTGATTGATTTATTCATAGACTGTCCCAGTCGCCCTCATGGCAGCTACGCAGAGTGCAGCTATAAATGCTAGTATTCTAACCATATTCAAAGAGCTACTAGTTCTAACAGGAGTTATTTTACTACAAACAAGTCGTTCCAGACAGAACTATTATCCCTTTATGTAAACACAGTTTAGGACAAAACAATAATGCTTAGGTTTACTACCGTTAAGCTAGCAGGCCAAAAGGCACAATATTCAGTCAATAGACCAAACCCCAAGTTAACACACAAGCGAATAATAACACGGTTACTTCTTTCTCTACTGACAGTCTCTCTAGGTGTTCTATATCTATATACTTGCTAGGTCTTCTGTGGCCCTCCTCTACTTCTATCAACTACTAAATCACTTGTCTTTACTACGTATATATAAGTATCCCTATATACATGTCAAGTGTCAACTTTCCCAGCTGCATCCTAAGCTTATAAAGGTCCCTACTATGCTTAGAACTCTCCCACGCCATTTACCACTTGTCTTTCATTCTCCGGCGAAGAATGGTTTTTGTGGTCGCTATAAGGGTCCGCTCCGGCAATGATACGGCCTGAGCGCCCGGGTTAGGGCTAAAGTCAGCGGCTTCCTTTGTTGCTAAGTCTGCTACTTTGTTACCTATTAGCTAATCACTTAGTAGTCAGGTCTCCATACCACCACCTACCCACTAATTATTCATCCTGTCTCCAATGATAGTCGAACCGTTAACCTTGTTATATCTTCATCTCCTTTCAATCTCACCACAATAGAGGGTGAACTTGCCAAACTACGTCAGCAGCTGCGAGAAGAACAACACCGACGCAAGGAAGCTGAGGAACTTTTACGATCACAAACACCTTAGGCTTATCTCAAGGCCTGCCACTCGCTCAGTCTCGCCATTCAGGTCATTACCAACTACCCCCTAACTACGTCAGGCAACACGACCAACACAACCAACCTGACCAGTCAAATATTTCCTTAACGTATTATCCTGTGGGATGACTTCGCAACAGCACAAGATAAGGTCTGAGCCATCTCTTGGACCCACAATTCTCTTCCCAACCCCTCCTCCCATCTAGACTATATGATGTCCCTGGTCAGCCTGATCAGCAGCGAAATTAGGCTCCGGAATTACGAACGCGATACTGTCGAAAACCTGGTGCGGAAACTCGTCGACAAGGCGTACAATAACCTACAAATACGAACCGATCTTGGCTTACTGGGAACTATGACGTTCAAGAGCCATACAAACCTCAGCAAGACTAACGACAGCTTATCCAAACACATACATCAAATTTTCATCAAGAAGGACAATAAAGGCCAAACGCCGCCAAACTACAAGTCCCAGCATAGGGCGCAGGGGAAGGGCAATCAGATGGACCAGTTCTGCATACATCGCACCTCTAACGGTCGAAATATTCCTGCCATAGCAATCAAGTCCAAGGCGCCACATAAGCTAAGGCGTAACAAGGTTATCACAGGCCTGGCGTCCGAGATCCAGCCGGAACGCAACGTGATTAACAAAGACGGTAACAGTTTCACGTTTACATCAAATATACTTACTACCGCCATTATCACCCAGCTCTTCTCCTATATGATTAGCACACGCATGTCACAAAGTACCAAAGGCAACTAAACGCCTATCTTCTTAACTGCCTTTGTTCTTTAGCCTATTAGAATAGAGAGTTCCTAACATGGTCCAACTGTATTAATAGAGGCGACTGTTGCAAGCTAATGCACCCCTTGTGTTTTAATACGCCTTTCAAATGTCTTAATATTATATTTTTTCTGGCTAATAGCTATATACTTGTGTTTTTAGGCCTAAGGCTAATAACAGAAAATGAGCGTCAAGTAAAATACACAATATGCTCTTGTTTCCTATAAGGAAGGCGGCTGAGACAGAAGCGTGTTACGATAACGTAGTGCGTGTATTTGTATCTGTAAACGTATTTGGTCCAGCCCTCCCCTTCCTATTCCAGCACACACTCTACTACTTTTACATACTTTTGATTAAGATATTCGACATCACTCAGTATCCTGTAGCGTATATTAATGACTAGACAGTTACGCAGGATCAACCCAAACTCACTGTTCTTAGATATTAACAGATTCTAGGTTTCCCAAGACTTGTATGAGATTACAGTATATACTGTACAGGCAAATTCGATCATCCTATTGCTTGGCGGGTTCCAAAGGCGGGAAGTTTAGCTGGTAGTGTCTGAAAAAATCCCAACTGAGTGTTCCAGATTTCAGGCGCCACATACCCAACTCAAACTCGTTGTAAGCAAACAGTACTGCCAGGTCGAGGATTGTTGGATTATAAGTCTTTGTGTTGACCGTAATGTTTCTATAAGACAGATTTCTGTGCATAAGACACGGCTTCAGGTATCGACCATATGATTAAAGTAGAATAAGAATCTTCTGCACCATCTGGTCAACAAGGTGTTGAAAGCCCAGTTAAGCAGTCAACCATGCCCCATACAAATCTGAGTCAAATTTGCTAAGGTGGCATAGCATGCCTTCAAAAAGGTCACACCAGTTGGAACTCCAATTAGTGACTGGCTATGGGAACATGCCGTAATAGGTAAGTCTCATGAAGCCAAACTGACCAAGGACTAGTGAGACACTGTCTCAGTAGATTGCCGCAATCCGCCTACACAGTTCTACTAGGTGCGGTAATCGCTTGATTATGTTAACATCATTGATAACAAGAAAGCCAAGGAAATCGGGTATAAGGGCACTATCCGCTTCCCTTCTCTCTTTCATGCCGATTAGTCTTTCTCTCTCCTAGTTGTTCTCTCTCCTGGTCGTTCTCTCTCCTGGTCGTTCTCTCTCCTGGTCGTTCTCTCTCCTGGTCGTTCTCTCTCCTGGTCGTTCTCTCTCCTGGTTGTTCTCTCTCCTGGTCGTTCTTTCTCCTGGTCGTTGTACCATAGCGCTGTCTAGCTGATGCAACAAGGTCAATGCCACGTGCTGCCCGGCAAGAGCTTTACTCCCTGTGGTTGACGAGGCTTGCTACAGAGGGTCAGACCAGACAGGTGTGGGGAGAAGTTAGATGTTGCACCTTCACGATATAATAACGCATATCCTCTACAACGGACACGCCAACACATATTATCAATATCCATCCTGTTCATAGGAGGCAAGCGTTGACGATTTTCGAATCTGGCGGTAACACTTGACGTCGATCATTAGCTATTTGTTTACCACATTTAGGACTCCTACATACCTAAAAGAACCCTATCATCAAGCAATACTTTTCCAAAATCAATCAGCATATCAACAAGCAGTTTATTACATAAGTCTCGTCAGCATACTTTCCAGTCGTCGCCAAGCAAGAGTTAAAAATGCGAGGTTTTTATCATCATCCTATCTCCATTATGAACCATATGATTAGCCAGAGTGAATATCGTCACATTCGGTTTGCATTTACAGCACCTAAATTGCGGCGCAGCAAAGAGGGGGTAGAATAAAGACAGCATCAATAACTCATTTTTAATTCCGAATCTCCTATACTATATATACTTCAATTATAAATACAATGTTTACCAACAAAATCAAGCGCCTAGCAGCGCAAGCCAGAGCTTCACGCAAAGTCAGGGAGATTAAAAATCCGCATAGTTTCTTTCGAGTATACAAGCCTGAAAACGGTCAACCATGCGCCGAAATTGTACTTGTCTATGGGCTTAGAGGCACCAGCCAAAACACTTGGACGTGGCCAGACGACCCGCATTGCTTCTGGCCTAGAGAAATGTGCAATCTGGATCCACTTTAGATGGCCAGAGTTTAGACCCATAGTTATCCTGCTAACAGTCTAAAGCGACCTATAACGAAGTCAGTAGCAGATATCAATGATTTTGCTGAAGATTTCCTAAACCATCTTAAGAATGAAGTAAACAAGGTAGTATGATGCTAATACCTCACCCAAAAGTTCCACATGGTTAACCATTGTAGTAGTTACCTATTATCTTCATTGCACATTCTCTTGGAGGCATTGTTGTAAAGAAGGTGAGTTTGCTCTTTATCTGCCTATATTTAAACTAACAATTAGTAGGCCTGTGTTCTTAGGGCAAACAATCAAGAGTATCAGGATATTATCAGTTTAGCCTGTGTAGTGTTTTTCTTAGGAACTCCTCACAAAGGCGCCACAATTACCAACAAGATGATTAGCTGCTTGAAAAAATTTGGCGTGACAGCTGTACTGCACGTCACCCCGTTAAGAAAAGACTCCCCAGAGTTCGAAGAAATTCACAATAACTTCAAACCATTCTCAGAGAGACTCAAGATCATAACCTTCTATAAGTTAGAGAAGATGGATCTTTTCGGGTTAGGTGCCCAGGTAAGTTTTCAGTCTTGCCAATCATACCTCTTTAAGAAGTTACTAAGAGAAATAAGATAGTAGTAGACAAATAGTCATCGATAACACCAGATCTGCCGAACCAAGTCCTGGTACCAATATTCATCAACCATCGTAATATTGCTCGATTTCCGAACATTTCAGACCCTACGCCAAGGAAATTGATCCAGAGAATCCAGAGAAGTATCCGTCAGCACAGGCCCTAGACAAACGACGCTTAGCGGCTAAGTTCAAGGCAAAAATCCGACCTTATCAAGAAGTACCTTGGGGCCAAAAGTGCCCCTGATGCGTTTTCAGTATCGCCTAACAACATTATCAGACCCGGGACTTACAATTAGGTTCTCTTGAACACCGAATTTCAGGCCTTAATCAATGACTTGTCAGTTAAGCCAAGAATACTATGGTTTCATGGCCTCGTAGGCTCAGGCAAATCAGTCTTAGCTTCTTTTATCAGTCACTGGATGAAATCCTTTAGCAAAACATACCTTCACTTCTCCTTTCAAGACAATGACCCGAATAGAAGATCAGTCATCTCACTCTTCAAATCGCTTGCCTTTCAATTGGTCGACAACTCGCGGCAATTCCAGGATCACGTCGCAAGCCTTGCTCGTGCAGCAGAAACGCTGGACGATTACCCTAGTCACTTTGTGTGGAAAAGACTGCTTGTGGCCGCAATTGAGAATCTTGATGATGTCTTTAAGCGACCAGTTTACTGGATCATAGATAGATTAAATATCTACAACGATCCAGAAGCATTGATCAGTGGCCTCGCCAATGAAGCTCTGTCTAGAACGCCAATCAAGGTGATCATATTGAGCCGTCGCACTCAAGCGCTAGCACAACTACTCAACGACAAAACTACTTAAGTCAACATGGAAACAGTCGCAGAGAAACAAAATGCAGTTAGAAAATTTGTTGAAGCCAATATTGGCCACTCAAATCCTCATACACCTCACATTATCAAAACAGCAGATGGAAATTTCTTAGGGGCTTGCTTGCTTGTCAACTATTTCTTTCGTTAGTGTGAGAGCTTTTCACTAGGCATAGCTGTAGATGCAGCTCAGGCAGAGTTCGCAATCCAGTGGAAGGCCCTCATCACTCACAAGGCCTCAATGTGGTCCTTGGAGCAGAGTTTTGTTGCGCGCCAGGCTCTGACATAGATCACCTATGCAAAAGATCCGCTGGAAGTCAAGCAACTTGTTCAGGCTATTGCAGTCTCCACGGCGAAACGCGTTAAGCCACAAGATATTAGGAAGATCTTAGGGCCTTTGGTTACAATTAACGAATACTCCAAAGTAAGGCTATATCATCGTTCGTTACGGCAGTTTCTGTTAACATCAGACAATCCAAATCTCTGTTCCCCCTTTCATTGTTCTCATACAAAGCTCTTAGTAGCCTGTATTTGGGAAATCCTTGGAACAGACACGGAAGCAAAGGGTCTCTCCATGTCCTCTAGGCTCAGCCGTCTGGGTGTTTATGCGACTATATCGTAGCACCATCATCTTCACTTGGTGGATCCAGCCAATCAAGCATTTGATAATGAAGTCCTGTCACTCCTCAAGGAGTTTATGACAGGGCCTGGTATTTCATCTTGGATCTTTCTGCTCTCAGAATTAGAGAAAGTAAATCTTATGGCATCCGCAGCAGACGCTTTGTTGCGTCTTTGGACAAGCTTAGTTAGGCAAGCAAAGAAGTCTGGACTTGATGACATCCTAGGATCCTGGGCAATCGAACTCATACAATTACTAGGAAGATTTGGCAGTCAGCTCACGAGACATCCCAAAATACTATTCAGCGTTATCCCGTCATTCTGCCCCTAGTCTTCTTTGCTATGGGCTCAGATGAGACGAAAACACCGGTCATTCCCTATCTTAGTGCAAGGAATCTCAAACATACACTAGGGCGACATTATTGCACGCCTCACGGTTTCACAAGAACCTGACGCTGTCGTATGTAGTCCTTAATATATCATAGTTTCGTCAGGTTCAACTGATAAGGTCTTTTTAATATTGACTCTTAGATTTATCCACCAAAGAACAATCAAGCACAAGGAAAGCATTCGTATGATGCGCTTCAGCACATCAGGAACGATGCTGGCAACATACAGAAACTGAGCTGTCAAAGTGTAGCATGTTGACAGTGACCGCCCGCCGTGGGTCTTTGCAGTCCCAGCGACACTTCGTCCACTAGATATAACCTTTTGCAGCAATGACCTCGCAATCCTAGTCTGCGCTGAAGATGGTAACATATAGGAATTCTCGATACCAGCTCTAGCAGCGTTA